GTGGTGATTCTTTCTCTGACCCAGAATTGTTGTCCCTGGTTGTCAGAACAAGCTGCCCAATTCTCACCAAAGGGAATGTTAGCAGCCAAAGAGGATGGTTACTTGTCTCAAACACGTTTTAGGCCACAGAAGGGAGGAATTTCTGACAGGAAGGTGCTGTTGTGGGACAGCCAGCATCTGGGACCACAAACAGCAATGGAAACCCTCTGAATATGTCTCTGTGGATACCCAAAACTTGGACTGTGTAAAGGTGGTGCTCTTTTCCTGGTGTTAGGAAAATAAATTCCATGATCTCAGACCTAGTAGGGGTTAACAAAGCTTGGGAAGAAGCATGTACCGCTATCAGAAGATACAAAGAATACAGCATTGAGGGGCCACAAGGACATCTGGCGGAACTTCCAAGATAAGGAAGAAACTAATAAAACCAACTCAACAACTGTGCTGAAATCAGGTCCGATTGGGTAAAAGATAATTCCGGCAGGGGCAGATGGCAACCACTGACTCATGGCCACTGACTCAAAAGAGAAGAGAGATCGAGCATGCAGACTAATTAGCATCAGAAGCAAGAGAATCATTTAACCAATAGAAGATAGAATACTAATTAATATGAGAACTATTTAACTTGTAGCCAATAAGGATTCATTCCTTTGTTTGCTAAAATGTATCAACAGTGAAAAGATTTGATAATTGGCAGTGGGCTTTGTGGACTTGCTACCCAGCACCCCTTTCTGTGTAGAATTACAAACTGGCCCCCCCGCCCCACCATTGGGGGGAACCCCTCCAGGGAAGGACCAGATTCTGCTGTGGATTCCGCTGGATGCACAGGCGATAACTATCTTTCTCTCTCTCCCCTCCCTCCTCCATCTGCAATTTTCTACTTCTTTCTATCTCTCTACGTCACATTTATTGTTAAATAAAATCCGTGTTGTTGACTTCGATGAATGGTCTTGTGTACACCTCAGTTTGGGCAGAGCTATCTCTCACTAATCAGATCTTAGCAGGGAAGAAGCACCAAAAATAATGAAAGCAGTCCAAAATCTAATGAAACGATCACAACAACTGTAGAATTCATCAGCTGGAAGCGATTTTGTAACTTTGATACCCCTCCCCCTCAATCAACTTCCTCTGGCAAGAGCAGCAACCCTGGGAGGCTCCACCAGGCAAGCAGAATGGGCAACAGGCCCATGGCAGCAAACTGTTTAATGAGTGGGTTGTTGTGCAAGTGACTGTCATCTGTGAGAGGAGGATGTTTTCCAGTTTGTCCTTGGCAGCCGAAGCTTTGCTGGAGGATAACTACATCACAAATATGAGGAATTTGAAGAATTTCTGCTTTTGCGCATTTTGAGTAATGGGTGCTCCTGTGAAGATCAGATTTGGATCTGCATTTCCTTGAAGCTCAGTGAGGGCTAAGCACCCATAATCAGGAAAAGTAATCCCTTTAATTTAAAAAGACAGCTGGAGGTTTGTTTACATACAGCCAAAAATAGAGGTTTCCCAAGCTCTTCAATTTATAGGCAGCGACTGTGAATGGTTATTTCACCTTTTTACTGTAATGTAAAGTTTTCCTAGTACCTGTGTCTACTCGATGAAACACAAAATGAAATACAAAATTCAAGTGCTGAAGCTTGGGGTCCCTGTGAATGGTCTTAGGTCTCAGCTTTATGCCATTCATGATGAAAACACTGTTCTCATACTAAGAAGCTTTAAACTAAACCAAGAAGCAGTTTCAGCAGCAGAATGGTAATTATCAACACTAAATATATGAAGTAGGAAGTATTTAACAGCTTGGCCCAGCTACTGAAAGAGATAAGTGCACATACCTACATTAAAAAGCTTGTTCTACTACAGCAGAGCTTCCTCTGAAATACAGCACTACCAAAAACCAGCATATTCTGTTGAGCAATGACACTGTTCCATTGGAAACAATCAGAAGACAGTAAGTTTGAAACAATCAGAAGGCCATTGTTTATCTGCCTCTGTTACTGCTCCAAATGATTCCAAATAGTGAAATGCCCGAGCCCTTTATTCAGTTTCTTTCTCAGGAAGGAAACAACAGTCCATGTTACAGCACTCTGTCACTTGCTGTCAATGACATTCTGTTGTTGCACACCAGAAGTGGCCTAAAAGCATAAAGCAGCACAGAGAACAGTTTTTCACCAGCCAAACATTCTCATCCAAACTTCTAAAAACTTGCATTAACTGGTGGATAACTAACTAATGAATAAATTCCTCTGTCATGTAGTATATTCACGGTTGTTCAATGACTACTAGGTGGCAAAGAAAACATAATTTTTTTTTCTGTTTCTCTTGTCTTCTGACACTCTAAAGTCCCACAGGAGAAGAGAATATATTATTGATGGTATCATGGAAATGCAATGTATCATCATGTTTATCTCTTCTTCTGCTGAGGAGACGTCAGAAGTCAAGTTCTTAGCAGGGAAAGAGAAGCAGCATGAAAATGATGGTGCTACGAACCAAATGGAATTGCCACCTATGAGTTCAGGTGACCCGCTGAATTAAGGCATTTCATGCAGCTCAACCTACAGCTGGTCTGTAGTTTCACTGTGTGAAATCTTACATTGTAACGCAATCTTGTTTCCTAAAACCAGGAAATTCCACCCCCCACCATGTCTGGGGGAATGCTTAGCTTGGAACCCACACAGTGAACATTCACAGAGTCTCCTGAAGTACTGAAAGGGTCAAGTCAATACAAATGCTACAAAATCAAGACCTTTCTATTGCTTTTATTCTGATTATTTCCCTAGGATTTTGCCAGTGAGGATAAGATTAAAATTATAGATAATATTTTGGGCCCAATAATGCCCTGTGTAGGTTATAGATAAATACTTAATTTAGTGCTTAGTTAGCCCTATCAGATACCTAATTAATATGTGTGTTGTTTAAAACAGCATGCATTTCCATACTTCAGGGGCTTCAAGAATAATATCTCCGTCCTTTTTTTTTGCACACAGAAGGCATGAGAGGCATTGAAAGTAGTGCATACACACAAATTGTAGTCCTCTGACCTGCACGTGGCAGGCTGGTAATATCACAATGGCAGGGACATCATCCGTACACCGACTCCAGCTGTGGAAGCTGGAAATGTTTAGTGATATCACCACATATGACTCTTGCTTTTCATACTTTCAGCATTAAGCTTACCCTGCGTTGGTTTAAGGGCATGAGCACCAAGTTTGTTGCTTGTCCCTGGTACTCTAGCTAGAAAGCCAGAGGGATGTCTCAGAGATTTTCACTGATGTGTAACTGCTTAGCTTTGGTTTAAATGTTCAGTTTGGTTTTAAATTTTCAGTTGCTGTTACAGAACATTAGGAGAAACAGCCAAATTACAGTCCTTCCAGTCCAGAATTTCAGCTCATTTCTGTGGGTGACAGTAGCTAGTCTAGCTTCCACTGAGGGACTCTGCCACAAGGATTTCTCTGCCATGAATAAACTGAATACAGGGGTTGATTCAGAAACGCCTATTCAGAAATAATGTTATCTTGAGGACACACTGTAGTTATCTTCAGGGACATGAGAACTGGAAGGCTACACCACCTCCCCCTGCTGCCAGGGCAAGGCCAAAAAAACTCCTGAGGAATGCTTTTTCTTTTCCTGGCATGCAGTATAGGAAGGTAGAAGTAATTAAAAGAACATATGGAAAAATGTATAGTTGCCAAACCTGGCTGTTGAAACAGCATGGCCTATCCAAATCCTGAAAGGTCTGCACAGGGAGACAATTGCACAAAAGCTGTCTACTGAATATTTTCAAAGTAGAAGAGCTTGGCAGAAATTGGGTGCTTGTTTATTAGCTTGACTTCCAAGTCCCTCCCTTGGCCCTTCCCCCTAAATCCTACTCAGCTTGGAAAACCCCTTTCACAGGAGAGGTTGTCAGGAAGAGTCTATAAGCAGACCTTTAGGCAATCCTGAGGGGCAACCTCAGGCTAAAAATAAATAAATGACCTGACAACACAGATGTCTGAAAGCTGCTGCTTGCCATATTGAATCCAAAAGTACCGCTGCTCATGTTACTGCCTTCCTACAGACAGATGGCAAAGTAGAGCCAAGTCAAGAAAATCGTGGTGAAAGAGGAGAAACCCTAGGTGCCAGGAATAGGTGCCTCCAAAATCCATCTTGAGCATCCTTTATACTTACAGACCAGCTGCCCTTCTTCCATCCCTAGACATAAAATGCAGCAGCCAGCTGAAGTCAGTACATATATATTTTTTTGCAGCTACCAAAATGTAAATTAACTGTGTTGCAAAGGAATTCAAATCTCTCTCTCTGTGAAGAATATGAAGACTCTCAGGTTTTAAAAATACTTCTGACCTTTTTCACATAAATCAGCTCTGATGCAAATATATACTCATGGGAGCAAAGACAACTAAGATATTTTTACATCAGTTCTGAAGGAGCAATATGTAAAAAGTTCATTTATTTCCACTTAAAACCAGATTTGACTTCATGTGGCATAAGCATCTTACAGGACTTCTTTTCTTGTTTTGATCTTGGTGCAAAACATTAGTATCAATTTTCCTAAGAAATATGATTTTGAAAAAGCAGATAGTTGTAAGGAGGTTACCTTGCCCAGCTTCATGTACTGGAAATAAAAGCCACAAAATACAGAGTATCTTCATAAAATAGCATTTCTACCATAGAGAGAAGAACTTAACCTTGAAGCTAGACTAACAGAAATTTCATTAAGTTTTATACAGCAGGAATGGTTTGGCTGCAAGTCTATTTAATCCAAGCCCTGAAGGTTTAAATCCCACTATATTACAAGAGCATTACTAGCTCAGACTTAATTACAGATTCCAGTTGGAGCATGACCCTTTCTGCCCCAAAAGCAGCAACTCAGCTAATAAGACAGCTTTGCAACATCACTCCTGAATCCTGAATTTGGCATACCTGATTAATATCAAATAAATGCCAACACTAACACCCTGTTACAGAAATGCCTTCCCTATACTGATACCAGCATTCTACAAGGGATACTCTTGAACACCTATTTTATGAGTGGTCCTCCAGCAAGCCAGTTCCACCTTCAATCCTACTGATTGTCTCTCAACAAGAAATTCTGGTTCCAGACTCTCCAGGTTACGGGTCATCTGTCCTGACACTGAGTCATTCAGTGCAGAAAGCTTCAGGAGGAAAAGGAGTTATTTTTAATCTGTGCCAAAAGTTTGGTGTTTGAACAACTGGAGAACAAGGAAAAGCATTTTTAGGAACAAAGACATGGACAGATGACTGAGGTGGCTGTGCCCAAATCACACATTGGCCCAGTTGTGTGTCTATTTCTTGAATGCCTGAGGACCGTTTTTCCCACACACTCTATCCTGCAAAGCTCTGTATCAGAGGTGAAGTTCTGCCCTCTTGATGATAACTATACATTTAACAGAAGGCTACATGCTGCAACTGTGAGGTGGGCATGGCACTGCCTTATGGGCTGTTCTTGCCATGTGGTTAAGCTGTTGAAAATTTCCAGATGACCACAGAGAGCAGTTCACATACCTCTGGGAAATGGAGGGTGCTGAACCTGAACCCTGTTTTCAGAGCCTGGAGGTGAAAAAAAACACCCCTCCCCCAACTCCCTATTCTGATTGTTTAATGCAATGCTGTGATCAGAAGGCATCAGTCCACGGAGAATCTTGTAAACAACCGTAATGCCCACAGATCACAAATAAACCCCAGATGACATACAGGTTTTAGTGTGGTATTTCACAAGAAAGCAGAAACCCTCCATTATTTTCCTTCTAAAATCAAATTACACATAATAAGGGCCTGAAGGGGATGATTCTTCCTGGATTGCAGAGGGAATCAAAGAAGACCAGATCATGAGAGAAACACAGAGTGAATCTGATATAAATTTATTTTTATTTTTGATGTTGTTTAGACCAGCCCCCTCCTCTTTTAAATACCACACCCTCCTCCTTCTGCACCGAGACACTGTTTGCTTAAAGATGAAACTCCTGAGAGATGAGCCCAGAGTTAAAACACAGGCTTAGGGTCTAAGTATGAATACAATGACAATCATGATTCTGGAAGAATATATCAGTTCATCCAAAACTGAGAAGCAGTGATGTCTTCTGGAAGGGCAACAATAATAATAATAATAATCATTGGTAGAATACTTTTTTCTCTGCAACATCAAATTTTAATTGCTGCAGTGCATCAGAGTTTAGACAGTTAGTAGGCAAATACTCACATCTACTTTATAGCTCTACAACCTGGATGGGAAAAATGGCAGTTCAAATACTGTATGTGTGTCAAATCATTAGGGAGTCTGACTACAAGCTCTTGTTGTTTTGCAGCCAAAACTAGGCTATATATGTATGTTCAGATTTTGGCTTGTTAGAGAACCTTCTGTCAAAGGCATCGGGAAAAAGTAAACTTGAAAAATCCAGACAAAGTTGTGGGTTTGAGGTGTTTATTTTTTGTTTTGTTTTGTGTCATTGTTTGTTTGTTTAAATCAGTACCTGGTCTACTCTTTAAAAACAGTTAAAGAGATAACTTCCTATGAGTTGTTGAAGAGTATCTGTATAGCTTGACTGAGATTACAATGAGAATCTAAGAATTCTTCAAGTTTTCCAGCCTCCAATTTGCTCTTCTGTGTGGAAATAAATGGCAGAAGAGAAAACTGGTGACATTTTGAAGTCTCTTTGGAAAGAAAGAACAATTTAGCAATGTCATTATTATAGATTGTAACATGTTTATGAACAGCATATAACAGGATGTTTTTAACAATACTTTACTTAACCAGATTACTGTCTCTTCAGTATTTCACGGTTATCACTGAACACCTTCAATTTACATTCTAAAATAAATTATTGTGTAAATAAAGTATGCTCACAGTTCTTGTATGTGGACAGTACTTACATTTAATTACAAATGATCTGGATATGTTTATAGGTGTGAAATACATTAAAATTGTTTACAGGAAATAAGCTCAACTAGCACTAAGTTTGGAATCTAAATTTTCACAACAGTAACTGAGAGTAGCTCAGTTATTTATTTGAACATGCTTTTCAAAATGTATTTTGGAATGCAGTAGAAAAGAAATTCAAAGAAATGCCAAAAAAAGGGAAGCATAGAAGATCAAAACTCCATAGCAGGTCAGATCAATAAAATACCAAACTGCACTTCTTAAATGTAAGTACTACGCCAAGTAGTAGCGTGGCTGTTCTTAAATGGTGTTAAAGCCCTTGTTTTCTGAAGGAGACAGTAATACACATTTTGCCTATTCAATCCAATCAAGATTTAGACATTGTGCTATAAAAGCAAACATATCTGACACTTCTTCTATAACTTTAGCAGTTGGCTTTCCTGCCCCGTGCCCGGCCTTGGTGTCAACATGGATGAGAAGTGGATTGGTTTGTTTCTGGCTTCGGCCCACGACATATTGCAGAGTAGCGATAAACTTCAGTGAATGCAGCGGGACCACACGATCGTCGTGGTCCGCTGTGAGCAGCAGCATAGAGGGATACTGGACACCATCTTCTTCTGGCAGCTTGACATTGTGGAGTGGAGAGTACCTGAGAAAAGCGCACAAATGTTTACATATTTTTTTCCTCAACACCCAACAAGTAGGATCTCTGCCTCTCAAACGTGAAACAAGTGTATTTCTTTAACTTCAGAAGACATATGTGTACATCTCACAGGAACGTCCAAAAAAGAGGGAACAGCCAACAGGGAAACTGCAGCAGAAGCTATCAAGTCCATAGCAGGATCATCCTGCTGGAAATAGGGAAATTGAGACTTTTCCCCAGCATACATATCCCCAGCAGTCTGTGTCTGCATGTGGATGGCTTCATCCTGCACAAATTTGGAAACAGACTCCAATGGTAAGCCACAAGTGCTATACAGTTATTAAATTTGCTCCCTCTACAATATTTAGGCCACCTTTGAACATATATATATGCTGAGGAAACGCCAGGCAGGAAACGGAGAGCACTGTAAGTTTTTCTGCTTTCAATAGATGACTTTGATGCCTAGTTTTTGAGCAATGAATAATCTAAATTTCAAAATCTGCCTTCTTTTCAGGAGAATTTGCACCTTCTGGCTATTGTAACATAACACAGAAGGTGTATCTTTGTATGTCAGCACAAAGTACTGTCTAACATTAGAAATTAAACGTAATAATAAGTTTAAAAAAAATTCCATCTAACCATTTCATTCTTTTTTTAGAGAAAGCTACACCTAGGAAGAACGTTACATTTCTTAAATCATGAGTAGGATATCGTTTTCCCACCTGTTTCATAACATAAAATACAGAAGGAAATTTTGCTTTTTAAGAATACATGAAAATATTTGAGTGTATAACCTAACAGATTCCTTGTTTCCTCACTTTCGTCTAAGAAACAATGTAAGCATATGTAAAGGCAACATCTAAGCAACATTACATATATATCTTAATTGATAAGAAATTGCCAGCTCTTGTAAAGGACACAAAGGTATATTTCAGGTCATCATATGAGATGTTCCTAAAATTGTGCACTCAGATTTTGTAAGCATGTGGGTAAATAGGTATGGAGTGTACATGCAGCACATGTTCTTTTTAATATCTAAACATTTTAAATCTTTAGATATATTTAATATCTAAATATCTATTTAATATCTAAAGACCAGTCAAATTGTTTAGTATGTATGAAGTATTTTCCGGGAAGTCAATCTTCATTATTAAAGAAATACAAATGCAGCAACAGAAGATGAGGTTCCACAAAAAATATTTTAAAATGATGGCACTTACTCTAACACATCATGTAAGCCACAGTCAATGTGTAGATAATTTCTGTTCCCACACAGCTGCCTGTGTCATATATTTTTAATTTTTCTTAAAATAATCTTTCCAGACCTCTCAGCAAGGAGTTAAGAAATTAATTAATATCCTGCTATGGTCTACGCCATTCAATTCCTACAAATACATCCCATCCACACTGTATAACACAATTCACAGTGGTGACTCTCTCTAGTTCACGATAAAAAATATAATTTATGTACTGGTTCACTTGAGAATATTCTGTTGTGACAGCCTAAAGGAGTCATTATCCAGAAAGAAAACCTTATGAGTTGCTAAAAGTTGCTAGGAGAACATATGAAAATATGACCAGTTGACTCAACAGGACTTCTAAGTTAGTCTTCAATTCAAAATCGACTTGTATGGAAATGCAGAACTCCCCAAATTCAGTGCAGGACAGGATGAAATAATTATTCAAATAGATATTGTTCATGACAATCTGAAACTCTTGAGAAGACTATGCTTTTTAACAACCACAGAAGTATTTAAAGGCACTTACTTGTACAGCCATTCAAACTGCTCTTTATAGTCAGAGCAACCGTAGTCACTGGTCCAAGCATGGCCAATGGTGTACTTGTGGAACTTGAGCATGTCCATCACTCCCACTTGGGCAATAACACAACCAAATAGGTCAGGGCGCTGATTGGCACAGGCAGCTTCAACAGGAAAACAATTCTATCAGTGTTCATATCTTAAACAATTAAGCTCAGCAGTAAAAGGTCCCCTGCCAAGTTTGTGAAAGACCAACTTTCAAAAAGCTTTCATAAACTCAAAGTTTATAAAAAAAAAGGAAGTAAAACTGTTAAAACAACGAGAAAAAAAATAAGATTACCATATAATACCTGGAGACAAAAAAACTTAAGTATAAAATATCTGATATAAACCAAATCACATCGAGAGAAGACTGCCAGTGAATATGAAGTCAAATAAGACTTTCAAGCAAAACTGAAAGCAAATACACAAATGGATAAAAAAATATAACTTCCAAGGATGGCGTGTTCAAAAGAGCTTAAAAGCTATTTCCCGGTTCTTCAGGCACCAAACATGCTGTTCTTTGAAAACTGCCTTTCAAACTGGAAAACTGGGTTTGAAGGAGAAGTGAAATTTAAAAATATGTGAGATTCTGGACTATGGAACTGAAGGTTCCTAAACCCTTCCTTGTCTAAGCTTTTAATATTAGTATCAAGAGAGAAAAGGATCAACAATCCTCCATTTACTGATGAAAGTTTTCTTCCATAATTATTATTATAAACCCATATGGAGAGAGTTTTGACAAAAGCAGACTGCTACAAAATCAGAGGAATAACCTCAACTTAAACTGTATTTTCTTGTTTTATGATTTCCGTCTTACAAATGGAAGGGACGAGTTCTTTAAGAATAACTCTTGCCTCATACATTTTAAAAATAACTGCAGTAGGCCCATCTAGCTCAGTGCTCAATTTATAAGAGTGGCAACTGGCAGATGCTCTGGGAAAAGGCATTAAACAAATACGGAAAGCTCTCTCCAGTAAACTATCAGCTTATAAACTAGTAGTTTAAGTTTTCTCTGAGTTGGACTTATCTCTAGCCACCCTGTTAAACAGCCATCAAAATACTCATCCTCTGTAATTACATTTGTTTCCTTTTTTAATGTTTATTCATCTAGTGTTCGTCACATCCTGTAGCAGTAAGTTCTTCAATTCCAGTTTCTGTTTCTTGATTTAAACCCGTGATTTAAACTTCGTGATTTTACAAACTCCCCTGCTTTTTTTGAATTATAAGAAATAAGAGCACTGAAATTTGCACAAAACTATTGCAGTGGGTCCCAGAATCCGTTTTGTAATTCGGAATTATTCACTGTGCATCCACATGTAGGTATACTCTTTCCCAAATTCTTGTATCTCCTAATTTTTGTCCATTTTGAAAATGGATTGATTATTCCCATTCTTCGCCTCTTGCAAACCAGGATATTGCTATGACATGACCTTGCTTCCAGCTCAGCAAGAACTTTCTTTCATAGCCTTATGTGAGGGCCCTTGTCAAAAGCATTTCAAAATCCAAGAATAACTTCACCTAGATCACTGCTACAAGCACCATATGGAGCCTGGCTCCTTCAAAATAGCTCAAATAGATTTGAAAGATGCAACTTCAGCCCGCAAAATTCTTCCTTTTGTGTCAGCTGTTATTTACTGGTTCCAACTAGTTTGCCCATTAGAGAAGTCAGATTTACTCATCTGCAGCTTGCGGATCACCACGAACCATTTAAAACTTGGCATTACACTTGCCCCCTTCTGTTTCTCAGACAATTTAGGCTTAGTAGCCAGCACTTTCATATTGGAGTTCACTTAGGATCTTGCATGTGCACCATCTGGTCCTGGCAACACGCTACTTTTCATTGGATTGATTAATTCCAAAACCTCTTCTGCTGATGCTCCAGCTGGAGTCAGCTCCCCAGAGTATTCCCTGTGAAAACGCACTGGTGCAGGGAACCCCCCACGCTCCTTAGGAGGGAACATCAATACAAACAGACCATTTAGTTGTTCTGCATTGCCATTATATTTCTTTAATGCTCCTTTTACATCTCCCTAAACCTGCAAGTCCCACAGATCCTTTAGCCAGTTTCCTGCCTCTGATGAGCATAGAAAGATTTCATTGCTAATCTTTACATTGGAAGCAATTTGCTCATCAGTCTCCTGTGGTCTCTCAGTCCCTGCCAAGAATTTACACTTTACCCTATTTTCTTTATTTGAACATGATTTCTATTTTCTGGAAGATGCTATTTTACTTCTGGTCATTTCTGATATGCAACCATGCTAACTCTTCCTAGTTTGTTCCTGTCTCATTTTTGTGAGGTATATATAGTGCCTTAAACAGATGCTATGTAAAAGATCTTTATGTTTTTAAATGAAGCTTTTGATCAGATCCCTCCCCTTCACATTACTTCCTTTTATGAACATCAATTATATTCTGGTATGAAAAAAAAAAGCCAAAACAACTATCACTGCATTTCATTTTAATACTCTTTATTTTAGAGTGTCTCTTGAAGCACCGTCTGTTGCTCAGGGTTTTGTAAGAAATTGCTGCTTCCTACTTCCTTAAATATTTCCTTCAGTAAGAAAGCACAATACTTAATTATATGCATTAATAAAGTGTAATCCAGAACAACAATTTATTCATGAATTTTACCCCTCTACAAATACGTTGAGCTATAAAATACAGTATATAAAAGTAAGCTTTCAAAACATCAGAACTGGTTTTGACTAAGCAAACATGAGAGGTTGAACACGGCGTTTGCGTGAAGGAGGTTTTCAGCTTACAGCTGTGCTGCTTTGCTCAGCTTGGGGATCGCACTGCAGGACAAAAAAGTCTTGTTTTGCGGTTGAATGAGGCAAGAGCTCAGGGCTCTGCAGTCCTTAGAGTCACCTCCCGCTAGTCTGACTGAAAGGAAACAGTATCTTGGAAGAGTGACAATACTCTTCCTTGTCAGCTTTTTCTTCAGTAAATAAGAACTGAGAAAGTCTGGCAGTGGGCCCTTGCTCCTAAAGGATGAGTTATGATCTCTAGTGTTGCATGAACAACTATTGCAAAATTTATTCTTGCGTTGATGAAAAAGCACTTACAAGAATTTCCTAAATTGACCTAATTGCATCCAGTCAAAGAAAATCCCTATCTGGCTCATTAAGAGCATGGAAATCCAGCTGGATTTTAAGCGCAAAGGAAGGTTTCTAACAAGATTTTTCAGAGCAGGGAGGTTTACATGCCTAATACCTGTCTCCTACCGGAATGATGTACGCCCTGCAGATGTGACTTGCTTCCCCTAATCAAAACAAAGAGCCCAGCTGACTCATTCAGCCAGAAAAACAGGGTATTTTATTACTAAAGCTGGGTAGGATGAATTTCATCCTGACTGAAACTGAAGTCCGTATAACCACATATATATAACAGTATTTTCAGAAGCTATGTAATATGATGAAAGTTTAACTGCACTTCCAAATATGTATTTATGCTCACATAAAACAGACTCATGCAATGCATGCACTCTCAAATGGAGTGCAAACCCTTTAACCCTTTACCATATTCATCCATTTCTATTTTCAATGCACAAATATCTCCTGCCACCTGTTATCGAGAAGCATATAAGCAGAAAGCAGAAATACAACTTCAGATGTACTTCTTACTTTATCTTTAAAACAACAGCTTTCTAAAAATAATAATAATGAAGGAATAGACAAGATGGCTTAGACAAAAGATCTATATAAAGCCAAATCCTGTTTTCTTACGCTGGGTGCTAATATACAGAAAAATAAAATAAAATCAATAGGGCCAGTATTCATAAACAGATAAATAGGAAGGAGTACAAAAAGAATAACAAGTGAAGGGTGACTCTAATAAATCTGTTCATTTTCTATATATCAGTGGCTTATGAATCTGAAGTGTCTTTTTTCCCCTTCTCACATAAGTAGCTCAAATCTGTCATACTGTCACATGCCTTTCACGCTATTTAAAAAAAAAAAAAGAAAGACAAACCCCAATTTCTCATCAGAGACATTCATGATTTAATTTGTGGTCATATTTTAACTACAGAATGAAAGCAGAGTCAACTTGTTATACTCCTCTGCACAAAGGGTTTATTTGCAGAACTGCCGTGCTTTCACTCATTCTCTAAGAACAAGAATGCAGGACTACAGAAGGAGTGAATGAGAAACTCAGATGGAGGATTGCAGGACATGGGCTCCTGGCTTACACTACAGACCACATACAGTTTCCCCAATGCAACATAACAGAACTTTGGTTCAGTAGTTATTTTGTAGCGGTTAGCCTCAAGAAATAAAAAAAAAAATACAAATGTTTCTTAAACCACTTTTACTTACTGTGCGATTCTACTGCAAGATTAGCTCTTACCACACAAGACTCTAAGTATGGCTCTCATCCTTTGCTAGAGACTGCAGAATCCCAATGTCCCAAGCAAACAGCAAATTAAGTACATTAGTATACATTTAACAGCTGTATATACTAATGCATTGACATTCTGGCAACTTTGGAAAAGCGGATCTCATAAATATTTGTCTGGTTACTTTAGTAAACCCAGAACCAAACCCAGGAAATATATAAGCAGTTCTTACCAACTAAGAGGCCCCCATTTGAGCCTCCATTAATAGTCAGCTTCTTCGGGGATGTGTAGCCTTCCTTGATGAGGTATTTGGCAGCACACTGAAAGTCATCAAAGCAATTTTGTTTGTTGGCCAGGATACCACCTAGCACAGAAAGAAAACAAATCAGTTGATGCCATAAAATCCATTTGATACCATTTCTTCAGAAAAACATGTGTGTAAAAATACCTGGGAACAATTCCAGTTTCATGAACATTGTAATAATTGATGAAGCTCAGAAGGACAGCAAATATAACAGATTCTTTAAACAGAGAGAGGGTATAAGATGGTTCTGTCAATAACCCTGATGCTTTAAGAAATTCTGAATAATACATACCTATATTAGGGAGTGAGAGCCAGGCAATGTTCCTAATCACTAAAATGAAAGCTAAAAGCTTTGCATAGCAAAATATATACAAAATGACCACATACAATCCACTTGAGGTTTGATCTAATGGGACTCTGATATCATTAAACTCAGTGACAGTTTCTTAAGGCAATAAAGCTTCAGCTTATAAAATAAGCTATATAGAATAAGCACTTCTAATTTCCTGAACATATAATATGTGGCTGGTAATCTACTCTTTTTTTTCTATTAGTTGTTTTCAAATCAGATGATATATAGCTATGGTCAAAGAGGAACTTAAGAGTTGCATTCTTGGTTTGAATTTTATTTTTAATTTTATTAATTAACTTTCAATATGGAAATGCTTAAGATACTTCCATCCTGTCAAACAGAATTCCAAATGTCCTCAGATGTATGAGGGAATAAATCATGACTGAAACTACAGGTCCAGATGACATCACTGATAAGACTTCCAGTTCTGAAAACAAAAAATTTTGCAGGGTGGGATAGGGAAAGAGGATGGCTTTCCCTACAATTTTCAATCATTTTAGTAGAAGAATATCAACACTGAGAACTCAAAGTTGCCCAGATCTCATAATCTTCCCACTTATTTGGCAAGAGACTAGCTCTTCCTCAAAGGTTACCCCACCTTAAGACCATGCGAATCTCAGGCAATTAAATACTAGTGAGAAATGGGAACTAGGAAGAAAATCCTTGTATTCCTGTAGCAAAGGCTGTGGCCCAGCCAGATAAAAGGGACTCAAAGGAGACAGAAATGTAACTCCAGTTACTTCTACTTTGTTTAAAGGTTGGATGTTTATTCTAAGCTGATTGCCTAAGGTTCCCACTACAATCTAGGAACCTCCAGGACAATTAATTTTACCCTAAAAAAAGTGAGATGAGCTACATCTCTTTAACTGGCGGTGTCTCTTTCATTCCATTGTCCATCCAATGACCCTAGACACCCAGTTTACAATGGTTGCTTTATTTCTGTGTTGCAGAAGTTTGGCGAGATAACTCTGACACTTAGTCATACATATCTTGTAGATCTGGAACCAGTGTATTTTTAATTATTTTTTTTTAACAAATACACATCATTATCACATTAATTAATCAACATCATTGAAGAAAGATATACTGGGACAACGGAAAAGTCTTCCAATATGTGGCAATGAAGGAGAAATAAATCTTACTCTTTGCTCAAAGTCCTGAGCTGGTCTAAGGTCAGAATCCTATCTAGATAATTAAACCTAAGTAAAAAGACTTGTAATTGGTTCTGGAAGTAACAAAGAAGAGATACATATCTTATTTGCAACTGCAATAAAGGACTTGGATCAAAATCAAGCAGGAAATAGGTGGACCAAAGAAGCATTATCATATTAAGATAAATTTTATTAAAATATACTACAAATCAATCAGCAAATTAAAATTAATGAAGGATACTTCATCTTTAGCAATAATATCCTGTATCTGCAAGCACATACAGCTTCTATTTATGAAGCTATTACATAATTAACTCAATTGTGAGGAAATGACCCAGACAAATAGTTACCACAGATGAAACAGTAAAATCAAGATGCAATGATCTGGAAATACCATTTTGTTTGATAAAAAGTTATTATGGATTACTGCCACAGCAAATTGCTACATCATAAACACCACAGTTGGTACATTTGCCTTGCTGACAACATTCCCAGCAACATGGCTTACAGATTCTTGGGATATGAGTAAGGTGTCACTATTAAGTAGTGATGGGTATGTTATAGAGATAAGTAGGACTTTTTCAAGCTTTTTTTCCCTGGTGAAGGGATGCAGACAATTGCCAACAATAAGGCAAGTGGACAAAGACAATCAAAGGACTAAGACAAGGACTGGATGGGAAAAACATAGACAGAAATAAAGCAGAAGTATTAAGAAAAGAGGCAAAGAGATTTACAGCGTTTTTGCAGTGAGTGACTTGGTTTCCCTATAGCACGACAGTCAGCTTAAAAAAATCTAAAATGTCAAATCGTTGCTTACAAGAAGTCAGATCCCCTATGAGTGTGGAGGGGATGACATGTCACTGCACTTCCAGAGCTGACTGTTTTCATATGAACTTCACTCACAGAATCATAGAATCATTTAGACTGGAAAAGTTCTTCAAGCTCAGCTGTTAACCCAGCACTGCCATGTCCCTAATGACACAACTACATGTCTTTTAAGTACCTCCTGGGATGGTGACTCAACCACTTACTTCCCTGGGTAGACTGTTCCAGTGACAACCCTTTTCTTGAAAAAGTTTCTCTATCACATTCACAAAATATATATAAAAAAAGATCTATTCATAAAATATGCAAAAATAGCCTGGAAGAGTTACATTCTGAACTCAAGCATTCACATCTTCCGTAAGGTTCTGCAAATGATTTTTTTTTGTGTGTGATACTAAGAGAGTCTAAATAGTCAGTGTTGTTGTCTTGGGGATTTAGAATTGTAGGGCCATGTGCACCTGCAAATAGTGAAAGAGGTATGTGAAATCCAGCCAGGTCTTTTGCAACACAGAAAAATTTCTGAAAGTCTAGGGAACTTGATCTTGCTTAAAAAAATTCTTTTCTTGGAAAATACTGTCTTTGTGCAAAGCTATTTTTAAGAAGTTGCAAAACCTAAAAGTCTCTACAAAAATTATCAGATTAACACCAAATAACGTACAGATCTAACATGTAAGTAAGGAAAAAAATTGCTTTTCTACAGAATAAGCAAAATGCAAAAGGAGATCTGAGCATGAAAGAAGCAGTGAAGAGAAAATGTTGCAATCTTCATTGCTAAGCCTGCAGTTTTGTTTCTGTGCTTTGAGTGACTTACCTTTGTGCCAGGTCTCTCCATATTCACCACCTCCCCTAATGTTTGCCACTGCTAGAACACCTCCTAGGTGTCGCACAAATATAAGTCTTGACACACTGAAAAAGCAAACAGATACAAACCAGAGGATTATCTTTAATTTCCAATTTTTATACACCTGCCACTTCTGCAAAAATACTTTGAGGGAAAGATCTCTCCCAAAATCAATGACGAAATCGTGAATGAAGTCCCCTCAGGCTTTTTTCAATGGAAGTGAAACCCTCTGCAGCCTTGGGAGAGGAAGGATCCAGTACTGGTCAATTTTTCCTCCTTTAGTTCTTCACTTCCAAGGAGAGTGGCCAGTGGTTTGGCCTAACAGACAACCACTCAGTACGTTACCATTTTTTAAAATTATTTTCAAAGCCGTTCATGTGAGGACTAGGGTTATGCCGTACCACTGGACAATTATAACTTTCTGAACTGTTCCTCTTCCACGGGACCTCCACTTTTTCAGAGAAGAAAGGAAGGCTTAGCCCAAAGGAAGAGCCCAAAAAATTAAGACTTAAGATCAGCACTTGATCTTTGTTTATGAGCAGGTATTTTCAACTTAATTTCTGCCTAATGTACAATTTTTGGACCTTTATCATAATGTGTCTGCGAACAAAAATTCTGTATCTATTGCTTTTTTGTGCCAGGGTTAGCAGTCAAGATGGCCAATCTCATTCTTATTTATTTTCTTCTTGCACTGCTAAATACAAAACAAATAGCATAACATAAAATTACAGGTTCTACCTTTCCTACTATCTCCAGAATCTGGCCAAAAGCTAAAATACCTTTTTTTTTTAAAAAACAAAACAAACCAAATTGAATAAGTATCAAAGCTATTACTATCTTTTTTTTTTTTTTTAATGGGCTGAATTTAAATTATATTTAACAGTTAAGAATCCCTGATCTGTAGAGACAGTAGCTTAACACAGCAGAAGCTACAGAAGACCAACTGCACATATGCCAAGGAGGTAGGTAAAATACTAAAATTTAACAAATCTTTTTTTTTTTTTCCCCCCCTCTGGTAGGTTTAAATTTCTTATTTACTTGAAATCTTTGCTCATGGAAGGAGCCATTTTTTGCAGAAATTAATTTTGTTCAACCACAATAAAAAAGATTGGGTCTTTTTACCTTTAAGTCCTACTACTGCTTATCAGAAATGGTTTGAAAGGTGGTAGTCCTACAGTGTGTCTCGTGTGGACACAGTAACATAACAGGCCCAATTTTCATACCTCCCAAAGCAATTACCTATGTAGTAGCACATGTTCTTAAAAGTATATACCAAGGACTAAGGAACCAAAATAAAAGCAGAAGGATAACTGATAAGAGATTTCTGTATTTTCATAATCCATCAAAGGAAAAACTTTCTACCTAGGCTGGTTATCTCGCCATCAGATTGCTCAGAACACATGAATTACCTCTGCTTTTATAAAATCAATTCTTAAGTCCATCACTGTGCATTGCATTTTCCTTAGATTGCTGTGACATGCTGATCAGATGCAAGATTGATATTCTATAAGCACGTTATGCAAACATTGAAGGGCATTATTCTGGCTAACTCCAGGATGCCTAATTTCAACAGGTTACTGCACAGCTAATGTGGAGTAGCCTGACAGTAGGTTGCCTCAAGAGATTGTGGCTTCTTAATTTTTGGTATGTCAGAGTCACAAAACCTCCCAGAATATTCTGCACTTGTTTTCCCCATCTGTGTCTCAAACTTTGGGCCTCTTGGTCCAAAGTTACTTGATTCCCAATAATCAAAGGTAGCAAGTATAAGAAAGTATTACGGGTAAGTCAAGAGCTTGCTACCCAAATATATTGCCAGAAAATATTTTAAAATAAAAAGAGTCCATCTTCTTCCATCTGCTGAAATAAACTGTGCCCATCTAAGGGATCATATTTAAGAAGTGAAGAACCCGTGAGCAATGCAAAACCAAAGTGTATCCTATACTGTCTGTGGACTCCGCTAACAGAGATAGTCCTTTGATAATGACGATTTTCAGAGGGGTCTAAGTAACTTAGGAACTCAAAGGATATGCAGTACTCTTATTATAGGTAGCTAGTCCCCATTTCCACATGCAAAAAATTTTCCTGATGCACAGGTCCTCAACAGGATAAAGTCCAGAGTTTGGTAACAACTATGATATTGCCCAAATTATAAGCAAGGTTTAGTCTATGTGTGCTCACTCTCAGTAATACTACTGGGATTCAGGCACTTAGGAACACCTTACCCCATATACCCCAAATAAACAACTAATGTCACTGCCCATGATGGTTAATTAATATCCACCCCGGTATGGTCAGTAGTAAGGCGAGTCAGGATGCTTACTTAGAATCATAGAATCAGATGGGTTGGAAAGGACCTCTGAGATCATCAAGTCCAACCCTTGATCCACTACCACCACAGACTGTAGCACTAAGTGCCACATCCAGTCTCTTCTTAAACACCTCCAGGGACGGAGAATCCACCACCTCCCTGAGCAGCCCATTCCAATGCCAATACTTGACCAATTCTTCAAAGCAAATGTGCCTCAAGCTTAAAACAAGCTTTCCTAAAGGGACTTTAAAGTTCAAGGAACCAGGTTTTCTAAGTACAGAATCAGAATTTATTAACTTTTTAAAAAAAGTGAAAATTCCAAGTGATTAGACAGCCCAAAACTCAACTTTCACATGCAGCCCTGCTATTGCCTTCTATGTCCTTCCAGGTGGATTCTTGCTTCCAGATTTGATTTCAAGTCAGTCTTGTGTCTGAGTCACAGCGAACTGTCCAGTCACCCTGGATGGCAATGAAATGTCTTATTCTACAGAGGCAAGTCTGGCTTCCTGCTCTTCCCAACAGTCTCTGCAGCCTTTTGCTCATTATCTCTGTTTTTCCTTCCCTCTTGGGAGCAGGGTAAATGAAAGGGCAACAGGGTCAGGAAGGAGTCAGCACAGGGAGCAGAAAATCTGCTGTCAAGTATTACAGCTGACATGGAAATACAGGCTGGTGCACTGGTGATAGGACAAAAGTCCTGAGTCACTGGACTTGGTTGCTTTCTTGGCTTTTGTGGAGCAGAAGGGAACGGTAATAGAACAACCGAAAAGAGTAACCTTCCACTCTGCAGCCAGGGCTGTTATGTTGCTTGACCTTTCTCTGGGCTTACAGTCCCTCCTGCACCACCTGTTTGCTTTAAAGGCTGGGTACAAGCTGCCAGTGAAATGCAATTTCACAGTCTGCTGCACAACCAGCTATATTCCAGGATGCATTAGGAATTGCTTCACCTGTACCCACACAGGCACATACGGAACAGTGAAGGGAAACATGCTGGTTCCTGCAGGGTAATTAGCTGAATCTGAGGCATTAGCAGTAGGTTTGTGATGGCATTTTCCCAGCAGCTCTCGGGGTATCAGTTCCACCATCCTTCACTTGCACTCTCTATGCCAGCTGTATAATTAATGACAATGCTCTGGCAAACATGGTCTCAAAGTGCAGCTTTCCAGTTCAGAGAAGCATATGAAAGATGCAGCTTGCATTCAAAAATAAACCCCTACTGTAACCCACTTAATGACTTTGGGCTATCATTCTTGTAGTTATTTCTGGACCCTGTAACCTGTTGGTCTGTTTCCATTGCTTTCAGTGAAAAAAAAAAATTATTTTCATTTTTGGTGTTGGAGAAAAAAAAGGAAGAGGAACACCAGTTTCTGAATTAAGCAGAAATAAGCTCCCCAAGCCAGAGAGTTGGCTCACGTTAATGGGAGTGAAATACCAGTGAGAAAACATTGTACTATCTGGAAGAAATACAAGACAGAACTGAACTACTGGAAAGGAGAAAATTAAATGCTTTCTGTGAAAAGTTATAAGAGTTTGAAGTTTAAATAAAAAAACCCCAGAAATATTTATCCAGTACTTTTTTTTTTTTAAAGGGAATCTGGTTACTACTTGGTTGCATTTCCATAGCTATGGTTCAGCTCAGGATCAGGTGAATGATGGTGGCAAGCCTCAGCCTTGACCATCCTGTGGCTGCTTTCTAGCACTCCTGCCTGTGGTTATCTAAAAAAAAAAAAAAAAAAAAACAAAACAAAACAAAAAAAAAAAAAAAACCAAATCATGGTGTTGGGCTGTGGTTGGAACTGTGGTTGGAAGGGCACTTGGACTTGTGAAGTCTTTGTGAAATACTGAAGTATAGTAACAAGGACATAGTATAACATTATTGGAATTTACCAGGTAAAGGGTGAACTGGATATTCTGCCTTCCTGGCAAAAATTCTCTCTTACAATTACCTTTCCCTGATCTTGCCTGCCTACTTTTGGAACATGCTTTCTCACTGACACTCACCAAGTACTCAATTCTCAAGTTATTAACCATAAAGATGCATTTGAAGGTTTCTGTTATCCTTATTTTTCTTCTAGAAAGAGAAAGCTGAGAAAGGATGTGTTGATACTACAGGGAGAGAATACGGAGGGAAGTATGGCCAATCGTGTTTTATTTACATTGTCAGTGGGATAATAATGTATTTTTATCTGCAGGCCACTGGTAGTTCTCTGTACACCTAATTTTAAGGGATTGTTACAGATTCATATTCTTATTTTATGAACTGTATAATAAAGGTTTCATAGGGTTCAGGAAAACATAGGTCACTGCTCACACCTCCCATCTTCAGCTCTTCTGACTGTCAGCTGCACCCTCTTGCTGCTGTTTGCTGGACTCCTACAAGAATCAATTTTGAACCTGCCAAAATGGCAGAAAACCACCCACTCCATTTTGCTGGGATAGTGTTATGTCATTCTTGCAATATAAATCAGCTTAGCAAAGGTTCCAGCAAGCACCAGGGCCAACAGATGGGAAGTGGAAGCAGGCACTGAGAAATACCTTCTCCTTTTGCTAACAGCCTGCTCGTGTCAGCTCTGCAGCATGTGAAATTTTACCTTACATCAATAGATATATGATATTTATTTTACATTCTTTAAAAAAGAAAACATGGTAAGTTTTATTGCAGTTTTCAGCATTTACAATAAACATTGTAATAAGTCCATGGTTGAACCTAACTAAAAAGGAATTAAAAAACTATTTGGATTATATAATCGCATCTCTCAAAAACCACAGGAAATGAAAAATGTAGCTTTATGGGGCAGATAAAAAGCTTACAAATAATCACAGAAAACAAGATGGGAGGTCCATTGTTTGAAAAACTTTTGCTAGAAAGGATGAGAAACTGTAAATGCTATTCAGAAATACAGTCACTGTGACCTGGAAAAGTGAGCACTGCAAAGGATTTCTTGCAATGTGCTGACTCTAAAGCAAGACTAGTAGTACCTTAACTTAATAGGGTTGTTTCATTATAGATTATTTTTCTGTTGGAGAGCTCTCTTCTGCTATCTAAAAAACTGCTCTCAATTCAACCCTTTCCATTTCTGTTTTCCTCTGCCTCACCTAGGAGCATTTCTTAGGTATTCAGAAAATCACTGCCTCTTGGCAAGTCTATTCAAATTCCCCTGCTGAAGAAATAAGCCTTATCTCTAAACAGATAATCTATTCAATGAAGCTTATGGCTTTTGAGGGCTACAAATCCTATTCTGCACACAGTATTTTTGGTTTGGTTTCAGTGTGTTGCTTTGCATTTGCAGAGATCACATCATTTGCGTCTCAAGACAGAATCATCTTTTGTCTTTCCTGATCCTTTGGGACACAGTAGGAATTTGCTTCTGATGTAATCTCCTTTAAACTATAATATGAAAACGCTGTGAAATTTTAATTATTTACACTAATTTAGACAAACATTTGATTTTCTATAATATCTAGACACAGGCAATTGTTTAACTTGGAAAAAGAAAACTTCCAATGACATTACTTCAGCAAAGGGCTCAAATACTTGCTTAATATATGTCCATATGCTTCTCTGTTGAGCTCAGTGACAGACCAGGAAGAGGCTGAGGTGTAATCACAAGGGCAGGGTGCCTGCTGTAAACCTCAGAAGAGCAAAGCACTTCTCTGCTCTGACATAAATTTCTTCTGTGAGCCTGGGCACAACCCTTGAATTCAGAACTAACAAAGCAGACAAATGGTGCCTGGGCACTGAAGTGCAGTCCTTATGGTTCCCATCTTGCTTCTTAGGGACCTGAAATGCATCCTGTCAGATCCATCATCCACCCTGCCCTCAGTCTGTGACAGCTGTTAATACTAGGTACTTCAGAAGAAGGTATGAAATACTCAGCTTACCTGTAGCTTGGTGTAATTGATATGTTGAATCCTCCATATCCATACAAGAAGGCAGGATGAGAACCATCTAATTTAATTCCTTTCTTGTGAATAATAAACATAGGGATCTTAGTACCATCTTTGCTAGGGTAGAAAACCTAAGACAAGAAAAAGAAATCCATAATGATCTTAATGCTGTAACTCTCCACAGCTGCTGTTGACAAGAATCAGAGGTGATCCCTCCTATGGTGTCTGAGGGGTGAAACTTTCCAGGCAATCTGTGCCAATTGCCCAGGTCACGTTCAGTAATGGCCATCACTCAATTGGTTGCTTAACAGCTCTGGAAAATGTATAAAAATGAGACAGTACAAACGTTTATGTATTTTATACATTAATTCTGCATACAAGAGGGTTTAAGAAAATGTTACAAAAAGAATACAATTCTCTGCAAGGGAAGACCGATGGTGTGAAAACACAAGGGCTGCATGGCCCATTGCAGTGTAAGCAGCAGAGACTTGAGCTGGCACAGAGAACAAACAGAACTAAAACCAGATTTCTAATCTAAATTTATAATTTCGAAAATTTCTCCTTTTAAAAAATTCAAACTTCAGACACTAGACAACAGTTGACAGAGAAGAAAGAAACTCATGGTAGGCTGGTGACTTAGTGAGAACCCACTAAACATTGCACTGTTTTAGACAAGAGAGAGCTGTTAGTACAAATAAATAGGTAAAACTCTCTGAAGATCTGGTCTTGTGCTTCTGAAATCACTGAAAATTCCTTCATATCAGTTGATGCAGCAGACTTTGCTTGTAAAAACATAAATTTCATCACAAATAGAAGGCCACAGATATTTAAAAAGTCAGAGTATTTTGGTTTTCTTAGTAATACATTAGCATTAATATATTAGCATTAACATTTCTCAATGGAGTCACCCCACACACCGAATTCAAGTGCAAAGAGAAAACTTTGAATAGCTGAAGACACTGTTTTTTCAGCCTTGTGAAAACAGCAAAAAGCTGATTAAACTCTTGGCACATGCAGCACGAATTTGCTAAAGCAAGTCTGTATCCAGCAGAAGTGGACTCAGCATTGCCCAGTCTTTCAGGACTGTCTGAAGGACCACTCCACCTCATCAGGGTGGTAACATAAGCCATATGACAGAAACTTTTGTAGCACTTGGTGCATTCCAGACATTACCAGGCAAGTAGAACCAGGAGCCCCAGTGCTGCAGAATCTCCAATTCAACCCCCAAGACTCCTGAACTGCCCACTGGCTTTCAGGAAACCCACACCCAAAACACCAAGTATCCACATAGCACGTGCTTTCATACGTCCTTCTATTAGTGCCACAGCACTGTGCGAAGTTAAAAGCTGAACTTCACGTTCACAAACATAGACTGTAGTTGCTTAACACAGTTCTCGCATCTTGTTTTGATGTATGTATCTGCCTGCATACTCTAATTTAGTATCCAGCCTGTTATATTTTGCCAGCCAAGCAAAACACGTGGGTGTGAATGGAGTCCTGCATGTCCTAAAGTTCTGGTTGATTACTTTTCTTTGCCTTGTTTTAGCATCAGTAGTTGCAGCTTCGACTCTAATTAGAACAAAAAGGTAGTAAATGAAAAATTACACATTCTTATAATTTTGTTGGGGGTTTATAATCTCTGTGCTTTTAAAGGAAATAGTCGTACCATGCTTTACGAAGCACAGAATCAACAGGATCTATTTTTATAACACATGAACCTCAACAGTAATATGAAGCTGGGCAACACATTTATTCTGAGCATTGCCTGTAATGTGAAACATGTAAATCCACATGGCACGTTGAAAACAAAATAATCACATTTAATTTTAGTTTAATCATTGCTAATGAAATGTGAGAAATTTCAAATGAAACCACATCTACCTCTGAGGGCTTCACTAAAACCTGTAGATATATTACAGATACAAATTCAGTATTTCAGTATCCTGCAGACGGAAAAAAAAAGCAAAACAAAAGCCTAAGGGCATTTTTACTCAGATTAAATCACTGTTTCCAACTACGACCATAACTTATCTTTACTGATGAAGTGTTTGTCAGAATAGTAGAATACAAAGAATTTCCACTTTAGGTAATTAGCTGAACACTATAAAGTAAATGATAAAGAGGAGAACTGCTGAGGCTAGTAATGAGGAGTTCCACGGACTCTTCCTTAAAATGCCATCCATCAACTCCAGTTGTTGCTGGCAATTCATGCAAAGTGAGCACCTGGCGTTTCTACACTTCCAGAAGCTTACTGCCATTGGCCAGTCCTTTCCTGATGATTAAAGGATGCCACTAAATTTACTTCTTCTTTCTGAAAAAGGGCCTTTTTTTTTTTTTTCTAAACAGCTCTCTGAAAACTCACTTCAGTAGGGATTTTATTGTCATCAGTTTAGATAAAAAAATAAGGCATTAAATGAAAACTAAACAAAAATAAAAGATGCATGTCAAGGTGACATTTGCAATTTAAGAGTTTTCACTCCTATCTTTGCTAAAATTATGATTACCTTTCCCACCAACATGAACACACGAAAGTGGGATGGAAATCAACTCAGTGAGATACTAAGATATGTGAAGCTGTTTAAGCTTCTCCAAACAGACTATTTTCAACAACTGATTCAATCTCATCTTTAAAATAGGTGTTATCTTTGAAGCAAGTCCAATGGTTTACTCACATAACCAATAAATGGATGTGCTTCTATCTCAAAGATTAGGGTAAACCGCAAAGGGCAAGCCCTAAAAAGAAGAATTTCCCAAGATGGTGTTTCACGCCTAATTTTAGAAGCCCTCAGCTTTTACAGCAGTAAATGCTCATAAAAGGGTACTACTGTTTACTGCTTTATCACAGACAGAAGCGATCCACTTGTGCCAGTTACATTATATTACTTCTTGCTCATATATTTTCAAATAAGGACTGATGTCACTATAGTCAGCATATGTAAGAAGAGGACAAGTGAGCAAAGGGATTTTGGAGGGAAAAGAACGGAGAAGAACACTTTAGAAACATTATTATGAATGCTGAAACTCACCATTCAAGGGGGAAGATGCCAAAAATAAGTATCTTCAGCCTTTAGGAATGCGCCAGCAATGCTGTGTGGTTGACAGGGCACTCCTGCTGCATGCAACCCTTGGTGCTATTCTAGGAGCTGGATCAGTACAACAGCCCCAAAATAGTTGTAGCTCACTTTGTCTCACACTGAAGTTCTTATCTGTCACATGCCAGAGGGGTCTCAGTGCCAGAAGGAATAACTTCAATTCAGATGCTGGAACCTGAGGCATAAATTTATAGCCTCTAGTGTACTTACTGTGACTCAGGGAGGAAGCAACACTGTTTGCACAGTTAGTCATTACTACAAACTACATGAGGACTAGGCTATATAAGCTACATAAAACCCAATCTCAATCATTCTTCTTTCATCCATAGATATATATTTATAGAGTGGTGTGTTATTTTGTTTTGTTTTTTAAACTTAGCATTTGAAAGCAATTTACATTCCATTTTCATGGACTAAAAAAGTCAGTGGAAGTTTACCTCCAAGACAGTTTACAGACTAAGTTTTACAAGTAAATACAGTTAATGGCTGTGTGATTGGTCTTGTAAATTTACTCAGGAGTTAAACAGGATTTAAAAGTTCTATAAATTCAATCCTGGGAAGGTCTTTGTCCTCCTAATTATTATTTGCCTTAAATGTGCAGTATTTATATTAGGTGAACCTTTACTTAAGGAAGATAGGAACAATCAGCTGGCACTGTAGACAGAGACCTAAATTCAGAAAGACTCTATCCACCTCTGCAGTAACAAGAAGCATCCTCTCCATCTCAGGTCACAAGGAGGCAAAACTAAGTATTTTTAAAAAGCTAAGAGAATTTCAAAATAAGAGGCTGAAGACAAAGTTTTTCTTTCATTTGTCTATAGAGACAATACAGACAGACACTCACACACGGAACTAAAAATAATTTTGGCAATCATCCATTATGCACTTCTTTTGTGAGTAAATATGAAATCAGTATCTATGAATATTAAATGAAATGACACAATCATCACAACACATAAATAAAACTAATCTGCCTGAATACTCATATTGTGCCACATAATTAAAAATACTTAAGACTATTGACATTGAATAAAAACTTCCATTTTTAAAAATTAATAACCTCAGCAACTTGTGAGTATTTAGTTTCACTTTTTCTCACTTTCAGAAATATTTTTGCTGTTTATATAATGGATGTAAATAATTATAATTGTTTCGTGAAGAAAACTGAATGTACACCTGAAATCATCTTGCTTTTACAAAACCTAAAATCCTTCTATGCAAAAAACAACCCCAAAATTGTACACATTTAAAATTAACCTTCTAAGGTAAGATTCAACACAGGTTTTGAAATACTGCTGTAAAACACAAATCCAAGATAATATTATCCATATGGGTCTAATGCATATATTTTTAAGCTGTGAACAATACCGGAATGTTTAGAAATATTTTATCATTTTTCTGACTTGCTCATTAATGGTAGAGAATTAAAATCCAGTTAAGAATTGTTAGTTTTGCTTTTCAGAAAGAAATATTTCCTGCATATAAACCACGAAATTTACACATGAAAAGAAATTTTGATTTCTGGGACTCGAAAACACTCTGTAAGTTACAGTAAGATAATTATTCTTAGAAAGCCAGTAGTGATTCTAATAATGTCTCTCCCAAACTCTCTTTCAAGATTAGATATTACATACCAGAAATAGTAATTCTTTCCATGTCTTTGTGTGCTTGATAAAAACAAGGTAAGAGTTACATTTGTCATTAGATTGACAGTCATTGTGCAAAATCCCAAAGAATTTTACAAAGAGTAACTAAAGAGGCATATAAATCAAGCCTGAATACTCCTTATTAAAAATGCCTGTTCAATAATTTAGGTTTAATAACACCACAACAATGTCTTTAATATTAGTTTTGTTCCAAAGTTCCCTATATACTTTTCTTGAGAGAACTCCTTTTCATTTGAAACAAACACAGGATTTAGCAGTCTTGGTGAAAGGTAGCAGTTGTTTTCTGCCCCCACACACCGCTGCAGCCACCACAAAGTCACAGACAGTGCTGGAGAATCAAAACACCCTGTTCAGTCCCAGCAGCCACAGGCA